TCCCTTTTTGTATCTTTGTGAGCTCATTTCAATATCAAGAATAAATGCATATCAAAACCATGTAAAACTGAGCCAATCAGATCAAAGGAAAAAATCTTACCAATCACAAAAATTACTTTAGCAGTTTTCAACTTTGCCAAGTCCTCTTCAGTTAGTTCTGGTGGTGTAGGTTTTTCTTCAATCTTTTCCTCACTCTTCTCACCATCTGCCACCATCTTCTCTTCATTATTTTCAGTGGATACTGCATCCTCTTTTGTTTGCTCAGTTTCAGCTTTCTCTTCTTCATCATCACCTGTTGTTTTTTCTTTCTCAGCAACAACTTTCTCCTCCAAAACTACATCACCTTTTAATTAGAGAGCAGTAATTTTGTCAGTCACATCGAATAGTAATTTTTATTGCATAATCGTATCCTTATTTGGATATTGACTCAGAAAAAGGAAATTACAATAAAGATAAAAAACTGATGAAGTAACAAACTGGAAGCGCTAATTTTTTTTTTTGTTAATCTAGGGGCAGCTGGTTGATTTTTGAAATGATTTTCTCTGGCACTGAAACAGTTATAGATGTAGCTGCTAGTTTTGTTAATTTTTGGCTGTTATTGCTTGTTAGCATTGTATTCAATTTATTGGTATTTGTGTTGTTGCAATGTATTAATTTATTTCCTTCAACATTTCAGTTCTCTCATTTTCATACAGCTTGCATTCAAGTAAAAAATGCATTTCGTCTTCAAATTCATTTTGGTCCAAGCAGTGACTTTCCTCCACTGCAAAGAATTTTTTGTATCGTCCTTTCTCAATTTCTAAATTGTAGGTGCTAATTCTCAATTTTGTTAATGCTGCTCTATGTTTTGCATATGTTACTGTTGTTAGATAATTTTCATACTGGCAATTTTTCTTTAGCAGTCTAAATGTTCGCAGTTTATTCGTTTGTTTTTTTATTTTATTATCATCATGCATTTGTTCTTTTGACTCTTGTTTTCGAATACTGTTTTGAGTTAACGCAAATTGTGTTGATTAGATTGGTGTTATAATTTGGATCATTATTTTCTCGTGATTTATTCATTTCCAGATATTTTTGATACCAGATACCCAATTAAGTATGCCTTTACCATCCATTTCTATGCCAAGTCTGTTTTCATTCTTTATTTTTATTTTTAGCCAATATTTTATCATTTGTTTTATATTAGTCAGTAAAATAGAGTGTCTATTCAATTCTAAAATACATGCCAAATTAATGGGCAATGGGGTTCCCCAACCCCAAATCCATCCCGGTTTGTTGTATGTTTTTTCTTTAATAAGAAATAATCAAATATGGAACATATGTAATAATAACAGAACCCCACGCCCTGCCCGTGGCTTTCGTTGCGTATGGAAGTTCTTTTCCTCTGAGATGCAGTGATGCTCCGCTCGTGAAAGTACGGCTGCAGGATACACCGCATCACTCATGAAAATAACTTCCATACGCAACGAAAGCCACAGGCAGGGTGTGGGGTTCTGTCATAGAATTTCATGTGTTCGTTCACATGCTAGTTTGACAGGAAATATGTGAGTGCAGTTTAGTTTAATACTGATACCTTCTGTGAAGTTTGCATAGCCAGTTATACTGTGCATCGCTACTGATCTTATAACATGTCAGAATGTTGCTTTTTTGCTCCATAAGATGTATTATTATACATTTGTCACCGTAATGCCACAAGTTACAGCATGCCGTAATTTTGCGGTATTGCACTGGATATTTGCATCCTATCATATTAGGAAATGTGAATTTTAAATATAATGATTACACACAACATGAGTATACTACACTATATATGTCAAAAAAACAACACTTCATTTGACCAGTTCTATAATCTAAGGTGCCTTAGTAATTATTCAGAACAGTTTGAATAAGTTGTTTTTATTGGAGTGTAGACTTATTTTTGTTGTGATACAGTTGTGTTAAATCAGTGTATTTTACAGTATTTTCAATTAACCAGCCTAGTAGAGTATCTGTAGCTGTAAAACACATTGGGGTTCCGGATTCAATGAATCATTCACTGCTCTTCTTCAAATAGTTTTTTTTGATAACCGTGACTACATAATGTTTATTGTGTTTATTGACATTTTCAGTGACTATGTGACTAGCTAAAATATAATTTTTCCATCATACACTATAGCAAGATATGTTTTTGTTTTACATTTCGGCCATGTCAGCTAAACTCATTGTTGCACAGGTTCATGATAATTGTGTACTCCAGACTAGATAGATAGATAGTTGTGTGTAACACTTTATGTACACTCCTTTAACTGTTTGCTGATTCATTTCTTAGAGAGCTAATGTTGATTATATGCTTGCTGACTTATAAATATAAATTGAATGTAGATTGTTGTAGACTTTTGTGGTGACTTTTTTTCTTTTATTAAACGGTGACTTACACCTATAGGCAGCCATACGACCTTGTTTTTGTTATTGAATCATGTTTTTATTTCAAGAAAAATGGCTTTTTAAAAAATAAAAAATAATTTACAAGTAACGGAAATCCCAAGAATGTGCACTTCGGCTTAGCCACTCTGAGTCGAAACAATAATATTTGTAATTAGCTTAATCCAGAAAATAAACATTGCATGTACGCGTCTGGTCAAATGACCGGATGCAGTCACTCATTACTGATAGTTCATCGCATCGCTTTTCTCTACTATATATTACTATTCATTTATTTTGTATTGACCAAGTTTATTTTGAAAAATAGAACGGAAAAAAAAATCAAGCGAAAGCGAAACCTGCAAGTTTCTGAATAGCAGAAAGCCTATTTTTACTACGAAACACAGTCCCTCGATCTACGAAACAAAGTTGGATGAGTCGACAACAGACAAGTCGAGTGAAAACCCAAGTGACATCTGCTCCACCACACTGGATAATGAAGACACTGCCGTAAGCACCTCGAATGCTGACGATGAGGACACCACTATACTGTCACTGGAGGCTGACAACACGACATCAATACACAGGATGAGAACGTCGAAACGAAAAATATCTTCAGCAAAGTCTGCAGTGTCTGGCAACGCTTGCAGTGAACAAGTACATTGATTGAGAATCTGGCTGACCATTGTAAATGTTCTCGATGTAAAAAGGGAAAAATATATATCCATGAAGAATCTCGTTATGGCTGGGAATCTCACTTTAGTCTCCGGTGCATGCGGTCTTTCGAACATAACACATGCACGCGGGTTGGCTAAGAATACAAGGTAGTCAAAAATAGACTAATCAGGTCCATTGTGTCATGGTCATGGCATCGGTGGTTCGTAGACAAAGCAGTTACACATACATTCTTAGTTCCTGGAAATGAAAACTGTTTTGTGCTGGTAATAATTTAGGCAAGAGTTCTTCGAACCCGCCAATTCACATAGTTCATACCCACCATAGACTACACTCAGTCTAAATGACTATTTTGAACTGTAGGCATTATTCAGCGATTCTGCCGGTGACGGAGAGATAGAATCCAGGTCAGGGGAAGCCCCATGACCTCAAGATTCTTTTACCCCTTACATCAGGAACCCACGTGATCGAGGCCACCTGGCAGCGCCACAGGTCCATCACTCTGATTCCTTTCTCTCCGCCTCGAGGACTTAGACCAACGCGACGGAAAGAGAGGGTTGGGGGGACCCGGAGTCTATG